TAGGTTCGTTTATACGGAAGATCATCATGTGATCACGTGAATTTCAGCATCATCCGATTTCAGCATCATCCCCGACAGTAAATGAATCTGTAATTATATAAAGAAGTATTTCTTGGTGCCATTTTAAGAATTAAAATATCAATATTTCAACATTGTTGCTCACTTTCCCGAAGCCCACCTTCCCGAAATGCTATTTCTCCCATAATTCCGATATCCCTTTTTCCAACTTAGTTCACCGACAGTCATTTCACAGAAAAGTAATTCCGGTCATTGTCGTTAGGGTCGGTTTAGAATTAGAGTTAAGACTAGTGCAATTTTTTAAAAAACTTGTCTGTGAAGTAATTGTCGGTGAAATGACATATGTCATGTTAATAAAATGAATTGTTAATACTTCAGAAAAATGGACTTCGGGAAGTTACCTCGGAACCATATTGCAAATATAGACAGTTTAATAAGTTTAACTTCCTTTATTATAGTTAATATACGAGCAAATTTGATGATTCTTATATAAAGCTGTTATCATATCTAATTAAAAAGTTTAATAAATTTAATGATCGAAGGGATTATGCTGTGTATACGGATTAGAGGTTGGAAGCAGTTTGTTCAATTCGACTTAAATTTGACTTAACCTGATTTTAATAGCAACCGGTTTAATAGTAAGTCGGTTTTAATAGCAAATCAGTTTTATTGCAAGTAGCCGATTTAAATTCGGTTAAACTCGGGTTTTAAATTTCCACCTTCTGATGCGGATACGACGATTACATTTCTGAAAAGGATAGCAATCTTAGGGTGTGGTATGCTATCGATATATATCAATGAAGTGTAAAGATAGTGAAAATGAGATGGCTTATTTATATCTATTAATTTGGATATTATTTAAGCTGTTTTTGCAGTAAAATCGTAACTGGATATTAAAGGAGCTGAAGAAAGTCAAAGCTATTAATTTATAATTGGTAAAATTTTATGGTATACATTACTCTGGCTATATAACAATTTTTTTTCATTAGTAAAAAAAATTCAAAATTTTACTATGAAGTCGTTATATCCAGATGTTATCTATTATTCAATTTTATGCCCCATAATTTAATTAGTATTAAATAGGGTTGTATCAAGTTAAGTATATAATAAATACAGTATTAGAAATATTTCCATTTTTTTTCTATTCACATATTTCAAGAAAAGGAAAATTTACAACTCCCCATTCCAAAAATCATGATCTAATACATTTTTCATAACCTTTACAACAACCTTTCTATCCTGTTTTGGTTTCTCAAGATCAATGTCCAAATAATATAAGTCATTGATATTGAATTCTTTTAAATAATCGTAAAGTTTATGGTAATTCATACCAACAGATTGGGGACTATGACAATCATCAGAAATTGTCAATTTTCCGCCTTTTTCTATTATCAACTGATTTTATAAAAAAAAAAACAAGATGTTAAATGAACTGCAATTAATCAAAATAAGTTAGATTTCTCTAATAAATCTACCTTATTTTAATGATGCTAACCCAAATGATTAGATATATTGTTAATTTACAAACCTTAAAAATATCTCTCTGAGGATAAGCACATTGTAACTTTTTAAATCCTGCTGAATTAATTTCAAACAATCCTCCATACTCTACAACCAACTCTATATTTCTCTCAATTTTCTTAATCAAAAAATCTGTTAATTCAAAGTTTGGCCTAAATATACGAATAACATCAAAATGCCCAACAACCATTGGTTTAAGATCTTTTAATAATTGGTATTGACTATCAAAATATGATGCAAATAAGTTTTCTTCGAGTGAATTAACAACATTACTTTCAATAAGATTATTTGATGAAGCTGATTTTGAAAGCGCAATTTCAAAAGTTTCTAAATCAAGATCAATTGGTGTTTCGTGAACATGGTGAATTGATCCAACTAAATAATCAAGATCATGTTGGGAAATTAAGTTTTTAATTTCGGTTGTCGATGAACTTGTTATATTTTCCGTTTCTAAACCAACTAATAAAGTTATTTGTGATTTATATTTTTCTTGAAGTCGACGTGCTTCTATTACGAATTCGGAAAAGGTTTTGGAAAGGTCTGATGGTTGAAGATGTGACTTTATGAATAATATTTCAGGAAGAAATGATTAGAAATATATCAATAATTTAAAAATTAAATATTTTATGCGAATTACCTCTTCTGGATATAAATCTTGTACTCTATATCTAGGACAGTGTTCAGACAATCCGTAAACCAAAAACTTTTTCTTAATGGCTTCTATAACAATTTCTTCAAGTTTTCCTTTTGCATGTTCACAAAATTGTCCTGAATGGCTATGATGCGAAAATGGCATTTTTAATTGTTATAGTTGCAAATGAGAATATAAAAATTTTAATGTTACGTTATTTTTTATTATAGCCAACATTCCTTATTTATTGCATTGCATTGTTATACGAGGGTGCTGCACGTTTTTGGTACGTACGTACCTTTTATGGGGATGGCTAAAGCCAGTGGTTTTGAGTGTTAGGATGAGGTGCCTTTCCGACACTTTTTATTAGTGCCCCAAGTAGCGTTGTAAACTTAATTAAATTAATTTGGATATTATGGTTTTTTCTTGCTATTCATTGTACGAAAACCCTTGCCATGGCAAAACAAAAAAAAAAGACTTAACTAATCAGGGAGACTTGAAGAACAAGGAACCAAGTGATCATCACATCACGTGAAATCATGACCGGGGTAACCAAAAAAGTTTCGAAAATCATGTGATATTGTCCATTCATCATGATTAGGATCATAATGATTTAGTGATTTATTTTCTTCGATTCTTCAAAATGAAAAGCGATCGTTGCAATCTCGACAAACCAAGTGATTCTT